TTGAGGTAAAGTCCTTTTCTTCCTAGTTGTTACAGTTTTTCAATCGTTTAATGCAGTGGTTTGGTTAAAAGTTCAAATTCATTGTTTAAATTTTATCCCAGCCTTTTGTGTTGACTTCATGGCTCCAATCAAAGCATTTGGGGCCATAATAGGATGCCTAGGCCTGTTTTTATTTTTTTTTTTTCGCCCTGTCGCTTCATATTTTTTCTGAAAAAATCCGAGAACCAACAAATTAAATTGGTGTGGCCTAAGTTAAAATATTCCTGGTGGTTGACAACTGTCTTTATCATGCTTTATTGACAGCTGTCAATCTCACATCGTCATTTGAGATGTACCATATTGCATGGCAACACTTTGGGTTGGCAAGTAAGCACCCAAAAATAGGCCCCACTACCGAGGTGTCGGCAAAAAAAACTTGTCACGAAAAAAGGTTCGGTTGACAGCTGCCAATTGCAATTCCACCCCTCTAGTAACCTCTCTCTTTTCTGTCTCTTCTTCTGTATTCGTGCGTATTCCTCTTCAGTCATGTCTCGTCTCCCCACCCTAAAGTGTTGCTACCAGCCAAAACATTGAGTTGCCCACCGCTCAACCCCCAGAACCCCCCTAAAGCCTCCCAAACCGTTAGTGCCATGAACCCTGTAGACATGCCAGAGCCCAAGGACAATTTTTCCAACTTTCTTACCGCTATGCTGCACAGGTACACATTTGCTCACTGTCATTTCACAGTAGAATTTTGTGTGCTTCCACCAATGTTGCTTCTGTCTTGCCATGATACCTTGTGCTACATTTCTCAATGTTTCTAACTTCTTGCAAGAGTATAGCCATGAGTTTATTTTATTGACCTCAAAGAACTTTTTGTAGATTACACGAGTTGAAAGAAATGTTGTGCAAAGGACCATTCTATTGCAAATTTCAAGGGGTGATCAGGAAAACTTCTTTCCCTTTTAGTTTGTCTTGTCCAATTTTTATTTAAAGTTTTATTGCTTGAGTTGTATTGTTGTACGCTTTTGTGTAATGGAAATATTTCCTGAATGCTCTCTCTGTTGAAGTTTTAGAATGGAAGAGCCTTAGGTTTGCTTCTGTGTCTGCTGGCATGTTTCTTTATATTTCGTTCTGCTGTCTTGCTTTCCTATCCTCTGCTGCTTTTCATTTCTTTGAAACCACACACAACCAATCACCCCCATTTCAAAGTCAGTTGGACCTTACCTTGTCTGAAATTCATGACAAACTGGACCACTAGACTCTAAAATAGGGGTGTAACAAAAGACTGTGGTGGAGAGAAGCTGATTTTAGTTGCTGCTTTTAGTTTTCATTTACCTGTCTCCTTTTTTCTGCTGTGTCATGTCTCTGCCCCCCTCCCCGCCCCTCAGCCAAATGAGGGTATTGGACAACACATACCTCGAACTACAAAAGACCTACCACAAGGTCCAGAAGCTCATGAAAGAACATAAGGCTAGGTATGTTCCACCTAGAGCGTCAGCCGTGTTGTCTTCTCACAGAAAAACCTGACCAGGCTGTTTGAAAAAGTCTGCCTGTTACCACTAACACTTTGGGTTTCTAGCTGGATGCTTCTGTGCGTACTGTGGTCCTGATATCTACACTGTTTGACCTGTTTTCTGACCGAAAAAGTGAAAATCTTTCTTGCTTTGACAGACAAAAATACATCACACTAGAAATGCCGAGATTACATGTATCTTTGAGCAAAAAAATACAAGGATACATGCAGTTGAATCAAATTGTCATATTTCATACTACAAAATTTAATGTATGATTCTTGTCTCAGGATGAGTTTTTAACATTTGAACATCATTTAGCATACATAAACCAATTTGACTGCTCCTTGTCTTCTATATTTTGACTTTCAAGGCTCCAAAAGCTATCATTTGATACTTTTTAGACAGGTTACAGGTCAATGATTGTGAAAATCATGACTCAGTAATGTAATGGTTATTAAAAATTCCCAAAGACAAACAAAACCAAACTGCCTGTGTCTGGTTCCACTGCACCATGTTCACCCACTGTCCCACTCCTAACCCTCACCATCACACAACGCTCACTGCAATGTACACTACAGCATGTCCCTTAATACTGGCAATAACACGTCACAGCAACAATGAACAGATGTAGAAAACCTTTAAGTAAATGGTTGACTTAACACACCTGAAGTGTTGGCATGTGCAACTCAACAGGTAAAAATCTGCTATGTCTGTGGTAGACTTACAATGTATTCTGTGTTAAAGAAACAGTTAAAAATCTTAAAATCCTAAAGTGACACTGTCTTAATTCTGTACTCTTTAAGTGTGAAGCAGTTAAGAATGACAAGCTTAATTTGTTACGTACATGTAGTAGCTTGATATGAATTCGCATTTTAACTAGTTATGGTGATGTAACTTTAAAAAGAGAATAATGATGATGAATGAAATCAACCCTCAGCATTGAAGTTGCCTACTTAAAAACAGCCTGCTTGTTAATTGTATTAAGTATTTCTAGATTATGTCTGACTCAATGATTTAGTGTTGCGATGACTACTAAACGTTCCACCATACATATAAACTGGTGATACCAGGTTTGACTTACTGTCCTGTACATGTACACCTTAACCTGCAGAGAACTAGAGTTGATTAAGAGGGAAGAAGAGACTTTGAGACAGATGGAAGAAAAGGACAGACAACACAAGAGAGAAGTTAACATGCTCAAGCAACAGGTATGAGCTTTCGACCTATTGTTCATGTTTATGTTTACCTTCCATGGTAACTGGTGCTGTAGCAGACACCCATGGTATTGGAATACATTATGTAGCAAGTTATAGGGGCTGGTCCCCATATACATGAATGAGTTAAAGAATAATCAGAGCAGTAGTTTGTTAGGCTTGAAAAAAAGTTAACATGATGCATTTGCTTTACAAATGTTTCTAGTTTTGTAAAATTTGTTGAAAATATAACCTGGTTACCATGAGTTGGTGGGCTACTTTTGAACATTTTCAAGCTGTTCAGGCAATTTTTGTGGAAAAGGAACAGGCAAATAATTTTTTTACCATGTGGTGTTGCCTATAGTAGAACTATAATGAAGCTGTAGTCCATATTTTTAAGTGAAAGGGTCAGATAACAGTATGGCACTGTTCAGGTCATGCCATATATGCATGTGTCAGGAAGTCCTACAGCTGCAGCAGTATTGCATGTGATTAATACTGACAGCTGTGACAATGTATCATCATCAGTCAGTGGACAAATTTGGACATTTCGGGAGTATCACGGTCTTATGATGAACATGACGTGGCGTCGGGTGGTGTAGTGGTTAGAGCAATCGACTGTGAACCGGGAGACCCGGGTTCGATTCCGAGTCGTACCCGGGACACGTCTGAACATGCGATGTTGTGCCCTTGGGAAAGGCACTTTACACGAATTTCCTCACTCCACCCAGGTGTGAATGGGTACCTAACTTCGGTTGGGGAAAGTCGTATTAAGGTCATCTTGTGGCGCCGAATGGCAGCCGCACAGACCCTTGCGACAGTTCCACAAAAATGATTGTGGAACAAATATGTGTATTATTAATTTTTTTTGTATTATTTGATTGTTGTAATTGTTGTGATTTGTATTGATTATTATGTGATACCCTGCACCAATTCAGCCGTATAAAGGCTGCGACTGCACGGGTACTGTTTGGACAATAAAAACCATTTATTAATATATATGAATGAAATTGTCTCATTTATCACTATGAAAACATCCATAAGGAATTGGTTGTGGTATACGTAATTGCCCTTAAATTGTGGTCAAGTTGCACACTTTTGCAAATGACAGAAAAAACCCAGGCAGTTTTCTAGCATGTAACTCAGCTGTTGACTTGATTTTGTTCCAGTATGAAATATTGCAGACACAGAAGAAGGTTAGACCAACATGTATTGTTTCAGGGTGATGGAAGGTGGAGCTACTACAACACTACTACTAAACCCTCA